ATTATACGTAGGCCATACAGTTTCTACTTGCTGTAAAATTAGACACCGGCCGCTAGCTTTCTTAGGGGTCGTCGGGAAAGTCATGATGTATTATTGCATAGAGAAACACGTCATGACTTTCTCGACGACCTAACATTTATTGAACACCAGAATGAAAACAGTAGGACAGTTGCTAGCAAAAAAAAAAAAAAAAAACCAAAAACATAAGACAGCATAGTTCTCCACTAAATATAAAGAAATGTCTTCTACCCTCAAAAAGCCCCCCTCCCCAGTTCCATTTTAGTAGCAGAAACTTGATACTTGACCTGTACAGCAATGTTCTGAGAAAGCTTCAGGGAAGAGCTATCCTGATCATCATCCTGATCCACTCTGACTCCTTCAACCCCATTTGCTGGAGGCACCACAGGTCGGAAATCCAAGCCTGTGTCCCTGCTACCTTCCTGTGGGATGGAGGCTTGTGGGGATTTCTCTTCAGAGCAATTCCCGGAGGCAGGCTGCTTTGTATGGCACCCTGCCTTAAGAGACCGAGTGACTGGATGGAGGTTTTCCCGGAGGCTCGTGTCCCCCTCCTCTCCTGCTGTGCTGGCCAAGTCCTTCAAATCAGACTGAGACCCACTGCCAGAGAGACAAAGGGCTGTGGCTATGGAGTTTTCTCCTAAAACCTCCTGGTGCGCTGCTGAAGTGTCACCTGCTGATGAACCAGGATTCTGCTCTGGGTGTTCCAAATGGACATTTCTGTTATTCTCCTTGGTTATCGTTTGGCTACTTACACTCGACAGAGGCGAGTTCTTCTGCTTCTGCGCAGGGTCTTTGGGGCTATCAAAAACAGAAGACAAACATTTCTTCACCCGATCTTAAAGAGGACCAAGAATATAATACTTTCAGTGTATCTACTGGAAGAACAAAAGCATACTGCAGAAACCCCCAGATTAGCAGAACTTGGTCTCAATCAAACGACTCACATCCTGGATATAGACAGCACAGCTCGGTGGCTAAAAACCTAGGTCCTGGAGACCCGCAGAGGGCATAATGGTTAGGTCACTGGACTCCCACGTAGTCGATCGCAGTTCAAGTCCCAGACCCAGCAGCTTAAAAACTCAGGTCAGGCATGTATGCGTGCATGCCCAGATCCTGAGAGGAGAATGGAGGAGAAGGGACTGCAGGATGGCCATCCCACCTGAGGGGTTGTTTCTCGCCTTCTGTCTCTGTCTCCTCAGTGAGTGCATGTACCCTATAACGAAAAATCTCTCTAAAAAAAAAGAACGTAGGTTCTGGAGAGAGTTTACATGTGAAATATAAATGACTTCAAAGACAAAAAACTTTGAAGGCCATTATGAATAATTTTGGGGGAATAGACATAAAATAGCCTAATGCTAGTTAAAATAGTTAGTTATATGTACTAATACAGTTACACATAATATCTTAATAATATTAACCTGGGCCTGCCCGGTGGGGTAATAGTTATACAAGCATTCCACAGAAGAAACGAGATCCCACATGGATGACCAGGGTTTGAGTCTCGACCCTGGCAGACATGCTGTTTAGGAGCTAGCAGGTCGCATGGTGGTTAAGGCACTGGATCCCCACATGGGTGACGGTGGTTTAAGACCCTGACCCAGTGGCTTGAAAATCACACTGGGCACATGTGCGTATGCCCAAAATCCCAAGAAGAGAAGGGAGAATGGACTATGGCGTGGTCACTGCCCTGGGAGGTGATTTTTCACTTTCCCTCTTTTTGTTTTTCTCCAGGGAGCACATGCATCCTATGGCAAACACCTAAAAATCATTCTGTGTGTGTGACAGATAGAATTGGAGGAAGAAGGGCTGTGGCATGACTAGGCCCCACTGTGGGTGCTGTCTTTCTCTTATGCACACGTACATGTGTCCTCTGACATAAATGTGTGTGTGTGGATGTTTTAAATATAAGGACCAGCAGTTGGCGTAATGGCTATGTCACTGGACTCCCATCCTGAACCCAGTGGCTTAAATTCATGCCAGGCACATATGCGTGCATGCCCAAGATTCCTAGAGGAGAAAGAAGCATGTTTTAAATATAATGTAAACTCAGAAATACTGTTTTTATTCTACTCATTTTTCACAAAAATAATTTTTAAAATTATTTAGTTATGTAATTAATTCCATTTGTTATTAATTTTTTAAAAATTTGACCAGAGAGAGACAGACAGAAAGAAAAAGGGAAAGCAAGAAAACAAGCTGCCAGGTTCAGGACTCAAACTGTGGTCGGCCATGTGGGAATCCAGCACCTTTAACCACCACGCCACCTGCCAGCCCCAAAAAAATAATTTTCACTCAAACTCCTTGCACAAATCTCTGATCAGAACTACTTTTCAGTCTTAGATATTTTTCCAGAACACAGCATCTTTACTTCAAGTTGTGTAAAGTACAATTTTGAATCCAAAACTGAAGTTGTCAATCACGATGATAGCACAAACAGCAAGTGTACATATGTACAGCATTGGGACAGTCAACATTTTTGTCACTTGTCATAGTCACTTAATGTACCACTTTTTTTTTTTTTTTTAATTTGCTACAGGATTCAGGGACTCACCAGAGTGACAGGGACAAATCACCCCCCATGGGAAATGGTCATGCCACAATCCTGCCTCCTCCATTTTCCCCTCCTTTCAGGATTTTGGGCATGCACGGATGCAAATGTGCCTGGTGTTTAATTCACCAGGTCAGCAGAGACGCGAACCCAGCAGTCAGCCTTGTGGGATTCAGCTACCTTAACTAACTACCTCCCCCCCAACTGACCCAATGTACTGCCTTTTTTTTTTTTTTTTTACCTCCCCCCCAACTGGCCCAATGTACTGCCTTTTTTTTTTTTTTTTTTTTTTCAAATTCTCAGAGGGTTGGGGTTGGCAGGTGGCATGGTAGCTAAGGGCACTGGACTCCCATATGGCTAACCACAATTCAAGTCCCGGACCTGACAGTTTGCTTTTTCACTTTCCCTCTCTCCCCCTCTCACTCTGTCCCTCTCTGGTCAAATTAAATTCTCAGAGGGCACATGTGCTCTCCAGAGAGAGGGAGAAAGTACTCCCCAATGGGATGTGGTCATACCATAATCCCTTCTCCACTATTTTTCCATTCTGCTGGGATTTGGGGGAACACAAGAACACATGCCCAGTATGTTCTTCAAAGCTGCTAGACCAGGATTTGAACTGCAATTGGCTATGTGGGATCTAAGTACCTTAACCACTAGGCCATGGGGCCGGCCCTAATGAACTACATTTTTAAATAGAAATCTTTAGGGATCAGCAGTTAGCGTAATGGCTATGTCGCTGGACTCCCACGTAGTCGACCACGGTTCGCATCCTGGACCCGGTGGCTTAAAACTCACGTCGGGCGCGTGTGCATGCGTGCCCAAGATCCCGAGAGGAGAATGGAGGAGAAGGGATTGCAGCATGGCCATCCCCCCCGGGGGGTGATTTCTCGCTTTCTGTCTCTCTGTCTCTGTCTGGCGAGCACACGCGCCCTATAGCAAAAACCTCTCCAAAAAAAAAAAAAGAGAAATCTTTAAAATATATTTAAAATGATATCTAATATTTACAACCATCTTTTACCCAGAAATACAACCTCTGTTCAATTTCTTTTTTTTCTTTTACTTTTTTGTTGATCCTGTCAACTAACCCCTAAAGCTTCTCGAACTATGACTGAGGCTTCGTTAGCATGTTTTTCCTTCCTCAATAGTACTTGCTGAAAAAGAGCAATCACAAGACTACTTCCTGACATGAAAATTTTATAAACACCCTAAGGGGATCCCTTTTTCCTGGGAGTTAACTCTCCTTTTTTCTGGGAGTTTTTCTGGGAGTGGAACTGAGGTAAGATAGGGAGAGGAGACTTAATGACAAATTTGTGCATATACAGGTCAAAATCCTGACTTCCATTAGCTAGCTGTTCAACTCTGGGGAAGTTACTTTATTTGTAAAATACAAGTATCACCCACCTAACAGGATTATGGTGAGGCCTGAGTGAGATAGTGCACGTAAAGTACTTAGCACGGCATCTGCCACACGGGAAACGCCAATAAACCTCAGCTGCGGCTACCATTACTAGCAGCATGTGGTTGATCTTACTTACACAAGGAATGAAGACACAAAGATCCGAGTTTACGGGAGGGTTTACTTAACATTTTCCCCATTACCTATTCACTAACAAACATGTCCTTTTTTAAAAACAGTATAAGTACTCTGGAGTCAGGCAAGCCTGCATTCAAACCCTGACTTCACCACAGTATGGTCAAATCACCAGCCTCTGTGTCTCAGTTTCCTTATCTGTAGAAGGGAGTGATACGTGCACCTACCTCCTGGGACTATTGTAAGGATTAAATGAATTAATACAGATAAAGCTCTTACTACAGTAATATCTACTGTATTAAGTCCCATGTACTCCAGAAATGTTGAGGTAGAATATACAGTGAATTTAGTTCATGGTTGAACATAACAATGTATTAGCACTGTAAGACACAAAGATGGGTAATCACAATTCCTGCCCTACGAGTTTAGATGGGAGGGGGATCAGCAAGTGGCATAGTGGTTGGGCTGCTGGACTCCTGCATGGTTAGCCGTAGTCTGAGTCCCAGACTCAGCAACTTGAAACTTACACATGTGCACGTGTACCCAAAATCCCAAAAGGAGAACGGAGGAGGAGAAATTGTGGTGTGGCCCTCCACCTGGGGGGTGGATTTCTCACTTTCTCTCTCTCTTTCTGTTTCTCCGGTGAGCACATGTGCCCTCTAGCAAAAAATTTGCAAAATAAATAAATAAATAAATGCGGAGTTTAGATGGGAGGCAAAATGTATACATGAGACAGTAAACCATATTAACAAAGATATACAGGTAAATAGACAGAAACACACACAAACAACGTATCCGTGTTTGATATGCATTTATATGTACACACACAAACATACCTACGTATTACACCTATATAATACGCAATGTCTAAATGTGTATAACATATACACATCATTAAATGAGCACATAGTTCATGTAGAACAGAGCAGGGAAATACTTGCCTTTTTGATCAGTTTCACCTTCTGTGCTCTACAAACACTTAGCATACCTGCTGAGTAGCAGGTGTTGAATTGGACACCAGGAACACAAACACAGATCCAGCAATACCCACCTTTAAAAAAAGCTTCATCTAGGACAGTGCTGTCAGAGCCAGACAAAAGACCAGGTCCAGAAGCCCATTTCGAAAGTCCTCTACCCCAAAGGCTCTCCCCAGTGAAGAACCCACACATTACCTTAGACTATCTGGGAGACTTTCGTCTGCTTTGGAAGCACATACAGTAGACGATTCCGGAGGACTAGGGGCACTGGCCACAACCCCAGCTACCTCTGACGCTGCCGCCATCCTGTTCTGCATATTCAGAAACAAATGACAGGATACGCGTGTTAACAGTTTATAATAAATGTATCCTTCCCGCTTTGAAGGTCCACAATGCCTATCCAGGAAAGAAACACAAAGGAAATCCTGGGCTCTAGAATATACTTAGAGTACTCTGTAGCAGAACATTAAGAGTCACTGCATACATCAGACCCCAGCAGGTCTCAAAGTTCAGGAGTCACCATATTTACAAACCAGGAATCTGTGCAAAGCTTCTCCCCCCCCCCCCCCCTT